CGAGGCGGCCCTGGGAGAATGCAGGGCCACTCCTCTGTCAAGGACAGCGCATGTTCACATACCACGGACGCACACAGTCGTAGGCAGGGCCCTCAGCTAGCTCAATCTGCCAGGTCAGCAATGTGAACGCAAAGAAAACGGATTTGGCAACATGCAGAGGGCATTAAATATTCATCCGCCTGCCCATCAGTCCGATCCCAGCAGAATACACCCACTGACAAGCAGACTTCTACCACCGGACGGATGCTGTCCGCCTGGAGGCTTGTTTATTGCTTTGTCAATTTTAATGCACAATATTTAATAGTCAGACCAAGGGATGGTCATAAACATTTGCAAAGTGAATGCTGACATTTCCCTTATTGCTTCTGTATTTAGCCATGTGAAATTGGAGGGTGTTTTTGGAACTGGAGAAAATCAGAAGGAAGCAAGATGATGCTTCACAGTTAAGAGAGGGAGAGAAAAAAAAAAAACTGAACAAGAAGGGAACATATTGGACTGGCTAAGTCTTGCCTAAGTGCTCCATGGGATCATTCAGATACGACCAGACTAAACCAAGCAGAGAAAGGGAGGCTGATGATTGCCTCGGGATCACAGGCTCCGAAGCATGCCTATGGATTGCAAGTGGCCAATGAAAAATCCAGGGCAAGTCACTTCTGACAACAAGTCACCCATTCCAGGTAACCAGAGAGCTTGGTGAAATAAAAGCAGTGGTCTGGTCACCATCAGTGGCTCTGGCAGGGAGCAGTCTGGGTACAGACCACATGGCACTTGACTGCAACGGACTTCGCAGCAGTGGAAGTGGATGATAAATGGACGGAGTCAGTCACCGGTGCCCGAGTTTCTTGTCGATTCTCCTCAAGTGAGAACATTCACTAAACTATTCTTTAGGGGTGGATGGCACCTCTCTGGAAGATGCTAACCCAGGCTTGGAGGGGAAGGCTCCACGGGGAGGGTGGGAGGAAGGAGGCTGGCACTGGAGTGTCCCCTGGTCCTAGAGCCACCTTGTGGCAGAAGTGAGAAGAAATAAAGGAACCTGAAAGAGGTATGTATTCGATTTTGTCTTTAACAACTTGTGTGCCAACGAAGCTCCAAATGCTTTGTGGCCTTAGTGCCACAAAGCAAAGGTCCAGGGACTCCAGATGACAAAACAAGACAGGGAACCCACGTAAAGTGCCTGGTGCCAGGGTGCAGCCCTGGGAGTAGAATGCTTGCTTAGCACACGCAAAGCCCTACATTACACAGACAGACAGACAGACGACAGACACACACACACACACACACACACACACAGACACACA